ATTTCCCCTCCACCTTTATTTCCTCTTAAATAGGAAAACACATAAATTATCTTCTTGCCTATTGGATTTACATGGAAGATGTATGGTCCAGCAAATTTGAGTTGGAGAAATTAGAGTTGGCTTTTTATCATTATTGACATAACTGGACAATTGCGGTTATTGCCCAGATCTAATGAGGCAGCATTAAAAGTCCTGTTGGGAAGACATCGTAGAAAGAGCTTAATGTGGTTTAGAGGGGGATTTTATCATCCTTCTCTATGATTCGCTTTGGTTTGGGCTAAATTTTAAAATTAATGTATCAAGCATATATATATATATATTATTATGTATGTAAGCTTGATACATTATATATATATAGAAAAAAGCCAGTTACCAAGAAAAAGAAGAGTATCGGTTATGGTAGTAGCAGTGAGGACAGAGAGAAGTGGGTAGATTCAGGAGGTTTAGGATGGAGAGCTGATAGCACTGGTTGGTAGATTGCCTGTGGGGGAGGCGGGCAGGGGAAGGACTCTGGTTTGGATTATTCTGTGGACATCAACCAGCCGTTTAATCCGCAGTTAATGGTACAATTGTAATTATAGCAGAAGGCTCCTTAAAGTGTAAAAACTGTAAATAATCGTGGAACGTTCGCTGTGATTTAAAATCGTAGAATGTGGTTCTTATCTTCATGATTTTTGCCTTATTTTTTATTAAAGTGAATTTGTTAAAGGACAACTTGTACCAGAACTATAAAATTTAGAAGGGCTTCTGTAGGAGATGTTTTTGTTTTGATTTATGATTTACTTTTTTTTAAACATTTTTAATGAAAAGTTTCAAACATCTATAAAATTAGAGAGAATAGTATTGTGAAACTCTATGTATGCCTCATTCAGATTCCGCATTTATCAATACATGCCATTCTTATTTCATTTACATCTCCCCCTCATTTTCCTCCCAGCCAACTGGATTATTTTGAAACAAACTTCAAAATTATCTCATCATAGATACTTCAATATTTTTTCCAAAAGAAAAGGACCACCTATTACAGTAATTAGCCTTTTGATGTTCAAATTGTTCGACCTTGGGCAAGTGGGACTTTCTTCAGTTAGCTCCTGAGTCATTTTGACACAACTGAATTAGTCTTTTGATAGCTTTCTTGATTTCTGGTATTATTAGATGTTCCAAGTTCATCTTGTACATTTCCCGCCCCAAACCTAGAATTGCTAGTTCTCCCAGGATTCCTGGTTCCTTTCAATGGGGAATAGTATTTAAAGACCACAATGAGAGCTACTCACTGGTAGTAGGTTGGATTTTTTTTCTAGTCTTTTTTAGTGGACATAGCTTCTTTTTTTTTTTTTTTTTTAATTTTGCTAGACATAGCTAGTGAAATTAAAAATAAAAGAATAAAATTCATCACTAATTCATATTAATATTTCTAATTCAAACTTAAGTTTTCTGGGCTTTTACTTAATTTTTTTTTTTTGCTTTCTATTTCTTTCCTTAAATGCTGAAATTCTTGGCTCATAACAGTATAGAACATAATTTTGTATTATTACTAACAATATTATGAAAAAGTTTCAATTTCTTTGCAGGTTTTTTTTGGTTGTTTGTTCATTTGTTTGTTTTGGTCTTTATGCTACATCCCCCTAGGGATGGATAGTCAAATTACTGTGTTTTGAATTTTTAAAGTCATTTAAAATAAATCCTGTCTGTGAGGTTAAACCAGAAACTCAATAACCAATTAGATTCATTTGTTTAAATTTGCTTCTTATCTTCAGCTGTTTTTAAAATTTTGGTTTAGTTATGTTTTATCATTATTTAAAATATCTACATTGTTGCAAAGGCAAATCTATAAAACAAAGTACATGCAGATAGTCCAGCTTCTATCTCTTTTGCACACCTTGCTTCTTCCTTCCTACTATGTGTAATCATTTAAAATTAATTTTTGGTTTATCTTTCTTTTTTTTTCCCCAATATAAGAAAATAGTGTTTCTTAGGTAAACGATAGCATACTATAAACACTTTTCTGCCCCTGCTTTTTCTATTTATACTTTATCCTAGACTTCCTGATTCCTATTTACAGCTGCATAGTATGCCACTGGGTGAGCATACAATCTGTTGATGGACATTTGGATTGATTTCAATCTTTTGTAATTACAAATAGTGTTTTATGGATATGCTAGAGTATTGTTTTTGTTGTTGTTGTGTTTACTTTCACCAGGGGATCTGGCAAGTAAAAGATAAAAACACGCAATTTTGCTAGAAACAGCCAAATTCCACTCCGTAGTGGTTTTATCAATTTGCATTCTCTGGGTGGATTTTTGAAGGATATCTGACAAGACTTCAAGAAAAATCTAGAGTTTGCCGATGACTTTCGAGAAGATGATACAGTCCTTACCCTCCCACCTGCCCCCGTCTCTTCCTGCCCTCTCTTCCTTATTATAATATTTGTAGAGTAAGCATAGGCCTCAGAGATCAAGCTTTTAGTCACTTTGTTTTCTCAAAGGAAAGCTGTGGGGATCAATTCAATTCACCATCAATTCTGTTCCCCTCTCTTCCATTTCTGTTCTGACATCAGCTGCAGATTCAGCACTTCTTCCTCTGGCCCTAACCACCCAGACCGAGGTCAGACCTCGCAAGTTCAGAAACACAGTCCTCCAGACTGCCAAGTCTACCGAAGATCTCAGACGCCAACCACAAGCTTGGGAGTCCCCACGACACCCTCACTTCTGACCTGCTGGCTACAAATTCGGGGTTTTCCCACTGCTCCTTCAGGTTGCCAGCAATAAGCTTAGGGGTCCCCAGGGATATCTCACTTCTGACCTGCTGGCTCCTGTTATTCCTTCAGGTTTGATAATTCACCGGAACAGCTCACAGAACTCATGGAAAGCACTGTACTTACTATTACAGTTTATTACAGCATAAAGGATACAAATGAAGAGATGCATAAGGCGAGGTCTGGGAGGGCTCTGGATGTGGAGCTTCCATGTCCCAAAAAAGCATGTGCTACCCTCCCATGTGTACCAATGTCTATCACCAGCCAAGGAGCCTGTGGAGCTTCTGTGTCCAGAGCCTTATGGGGGCTTCATTATGCAGGCTGATTGATTGAATCATCATCCTCCTCTCCCTGAGGTTGGCTGATTTCATGTAGTGGGTCTTTCTGGCCTGGCCAGCCCCAACTTCATTAGCATAAACCCTCAGGTGTGGTCTGGAGGCTTCATCAAAGATACTTCAATCACTGGGGAAATTCAAGGTTTTAGAGTGTATCTCTCATGAATTGGGCACAAAGATCAAATTCTTTGGGTAAAGTAAAATTCCTTATTGCACAAAAGCTTTCTTAAACTGCTAACTCATAACACCTTTCAATTCAATTCTGTACATTCTTTCTGAGCATTTACTATGGCAAAGCAATGTACTATTCGTTGGGAGATACACAGATAAATCAACATAATCACTGTCCTCCTCAAATTCACAGTCTAAGCAGGAAGACAGGCGCCTAACACAACAGCGGCCTCTGGGAAGGCTTCCTAGGTAAAATAGGGTTTGAATTGGCCTTGATGAAAGGCATTTTTATAAGTGGTAACTATTTGAATAAAGACTCAGACATAGCAGAGTGTGGAGTGCTCAGGGGGCGTCATTAGGTCTGTGTGGCTGTCGTAACAAGTCCTCCAATGTTTCACAAGACACATCTGTCTTTAAACCACATAAATTAAGCCTTAAATCTGTAATTTTCACCTTTTGATTTCTTTCTGAGTGGTTTTATGATGTTTGAAACCATTAAAGCTTTGGTTTGCTTGATGAGAATCTCAGGACACACAGTCCTGAGTTTGACCCCCAATCACAAAACAGACAGTGTTTCTCTCTTGGCCTCGAGCTCACCCCCGTACAATAGTGGACCCGTATGAGGCTCAGAAAAAGCCCTCGTGGTGCAGTGGTTAAGTACTCAGCTGCTAACCAACAGGTTGGTGGTTCAAACTTACCTAGTGGCTCTGGGGGAGAAAGAACAGATGATCTGGTCCCATAAAGACTATAGACTAGAAAATCCTATCAGGCAGTTCTACTCTGTCACATGGGGTTGCTATGAATCAAAAATTGACCTGATGGCATCGAACAATAGCAACATGACGCCCAGGGAGTGTCAGGGATTTTGAAGAGGTAGAAAGCAGAGGGGGAAAAGGAAGAGAGGTCATGGGGGCTCAGGGTGGGAGTTGATGAGAGCTTTCTGGGGTTTCTGAGAAGGCTGAGAGATAGATGCACATGTTCATATTATCATTAAAGTATGAGTGGGGACAGGATGGCCAGGCCTTTCTGGCCCCTTTCTTGCCGTTGCTGACATGGACTTATTAAGTGTTGTTTTATTTTTTATCTTGTTTGTGAGGTAGGCTAAAATATAAATTGTACACAATAGCACATGGAATGTTAAAGCAGAAATGAACCCCTCAGGAATTATCCTCTCATTTATACATGAAGAAATGGAAGCCCAAAGAGGTTGTTATGTTTTACTTGGGGTCTCAACATCTAGTAGGTGTCAGAACCCAGAGAAAAGCCCAGATCTTCATTCTTCTCTCCTTCACCTGAGCAGTTTGATGGGAACTTTACCAGAGAGAGCTAGAGTCATTTCTTGTGGGGATTTAGAGATGAACACAAAAATCAACATTCAGAAGTCTGTTCTGACTTTTTTGTGTGTGAGTTTTAAATATAGCATAATGGCCACTGAAAATAAATCTTCAGATTCCAAGCTTGACAATGCCCTTCAACTCCATTTTCTGTGTTGGGTTACAAGGACGTATTTCCATTTTATTGCAAATTGAACATAAGCAGTTTTACAACACAGCCCGCAGTTTAGCAAGCCCACTTTCAGTTTCAAAGCTCCCCAAATTTATCTTGAATGAACTTGAGGTTGTGTGTGTGTATATAAGCATTTTTAATGGTGTGTTCCAAATGATTTGAATGGGCTACGGACAGTTCCCTGGTGGTCTCAAACTGTAAATTTATACAGTCTGTATTATTTTCCCTTTCAGGACCAGATCTTTATGGAAAATGTAGGTGCAGTGAAGCAGCTCTGCAAACTAACCAACAACCTCGAAGAAAGAATAGAAGAGTTAGAAACATGGAACAGAAAGCTGGCCAGGCTAAAGCGGCTCAGTAGTTCGAAGTCCTCAGTCAGTGAAGCAAGCTCAATCAGGTATACTCAGGATTGCCATAACAATTCAGGAAAAGGACAGAGTGGGATGTTTCCAGAGGTAGATTAACTTAAATGGTCTTTTTGATCAAGCTGCACCCGTTACTTTCTCAAAATGAAGTTATTCTCCTTTTAGAATGTTCTAGAACACAGTTGCCTTACGTGATAATTTTTCTATTTTTTTTTTTTTTTTTACTAGCTATTTAAAACAAAACACAAGGCATCTGCTTAATAGCAATTGTTATAGGAAGTGCTAAATTTTAGCGAAAGGGTAGCTTCTCCTTTAACAAGGAGAGGTAGCCGTTTCTAAATTTAGAAAACCATGTTTAGTTCTCAGGGAAAAACATTTTTTTAAAAAATTATTATTACTTAAGTAAGTTTTGAGAAAAAGAGAAATGTGATATTTAATGCATTCAATTATGCTTACTAGAGTTCTTTTCCACAAAAGGAACTATCAATTGCCTTGATTTTTCCTTTTTTAAATGACACAAATGTAATCCAAAAGAAAGCCATACTTCTGCCTTAGTGACAGCCTGGGCCTTTGTCATATAATGCCTGTGGAGGATTTGAATGGTAATGAATTTTCTCTCTGTTTTTAAAAAGCAAATTTAGCAGAGCTGCTAGTGTGTCTTCTCCAAGAAGGGCCGTTCCCAAAAAACCCAACAAGGTAAATGGACTTAAATTTATAATAAACACATGATATTTTCTAAACATGCACACACACACACATACACACACACAGATCTTTAGAGAAATTGATCAAGAATTATTTTTCTATTTATTTGTTGGTAGATTCACTAGGTTATAGCCTATATATTTCAGGTGTTTAAATACTAAATCTTTAACAGATACTAGCTGGTTTTTAGGAGTTCCTTGGTGTTGCAAGAGGTGGGAGGTTTGAACCCATCCAGAGGCAACTAGGAAGAAAGGCCTGGTGATCTACTTCTGAACAATCAGTCATTGAAAACCCTATGAAACATAGTTCTCTGACACACATGGGATCTCTATGAGTTAGTTGAAACAAGTATGGAACACATCCATTTCAGAAATATTATCCTGTCAGTTTTTATTTATATTGTCCTCATTAAGTAAAACTCATTAGCCATCTCCATGCCTATGGCACCAGATGCAAGATCTGTGTTCGTGCCTTGACTCTACTGAATCCCTTCCCTTTGGCTTCAGAAGACCCCAGGGGGTCTTCAGCTAATCCTCAAATCCCTCTTTCCCTTTGATATTTAGTACTGTATATGCAGATTGAGAATAGGTATCCACTTGCTTGCAAAGGTTAAAATGTGTTGGTTTTATTAATGAATAAAGATAACTTTGTTGTTGTTGTTGGGTGCCGTCAAGTCAGTTCTGACTCCTAGCAGCCCTATGTACAACAGAAGGAAATACTGCTTGGTCCTGTGCCATCCTAACAATTGTTGTTATGCTTGATCCCATTGTTGCAGCCACTCTGTCAATCCATCTTGTTGAGGGTCTTCTTCTTTTTCACCGACAATGTACTTTACCAAGCATGATGTACTTCTCCAGGGACTGGTCTCTTCTGATAACACATCCAAAGTATGTGATAACTTCAGCTGTTGCATAATGAAAGAATAGCTGTGGGTTGGCAAAATTATCAATCAGGATAACATTTACAGCACAAATGTGAAGGTTAATCATTAATTAACTTAAAGGAGACCTGTCTCCATTGCAGAGAAGTGTCAGTCAGTGAAAACAGGGATTGAGATGAAGCTGCAATACTTTCTTCCTAGCTGCAATACATAATCCACTGCTTTCAAGTTGATTGCAACTCATAGTGACCCTAAAGGACAGAGTAGAACTGCTCCGTAGGGTTTCCAAGGGAAGCAGACTGCCACATCTTTCTCCCATGGAGAGGCTGGTGGGTTCGAACTGCCAACCTTTTGGTAAGCAGCCTAGCGGTTTAATCACTGCATCACCAGGGCTCCTTTGCTGTGATATGCCACTCTCTCCCTCTGACCCACTAGTGTTCCATCAAAGAGGCCCTTCCCAGGTGAAGATAATCATGATCTTAATTGATACCCTGTTAAGGGCTGACCGAAGTTTAGGTCACTACCCAAGTTTGTTCTGATTCCGAAAGAGTTCAGAATTCTTCTATACTGAAAACTAGTAAAGTACTGCTGACAAGCTTCTCAGTATACCAATAAACATAAATACACTTGGACAAGATACTTAATTGCACTGAAAAATGAAGATATTGATGTTATCCACCTTACAAGGATTGTTGACAGGATTAAATGAGCTAATGCTCTTAGCACTGTGCTTGGCAGATAGGGTGCTCAACAAACACAAAAGACTGAAAATGTTGTGCGGTGAAGGTGCACTTTGTATTAACAAGGTCCCAGTGGGATCGAGGGACAGTGGGATCGAGGGAATAGTATCTGCATCAATGGCAGCCCTGATTTGTACTATAAGGCCACCTGTAACCTCTGGAGCTGCACCCAAAGCTTCTCTTTTGCAGTTATTGAGCATCTTAACTAGAATGTATAGCCCATGAGAGGAGATACTGGGTCTGCCTTCCTCATTTTGTATTTCTAGGGACTAACACAGAGTAGTTACTCAAGAAATATTTGTAAAATACATGCATGAGTGGAGAGCACAGACTGAAAATATTCCTAAAGACTCACAAATTAAATTAAAAACACTAAGTGGTTCAGTGCCTTGTGTATGTGGCGGATGGGATGGGAGATTGGAGTGTGCACACAGAGTTGGGAATTTATATGGGTATTAAAGAACACTCATTCAACTCAGAGAGACCTCTTGTAGTCATTGTACTAGAACTGTAGGAGGCAGACAAAGATGAGTCAGATGTGGTACCGTCTCCTAAGGAATTATAAGGTAGCCAGGGCAGAGCAGAAGGAAATAACAGTTGTATGAAGCTAGATGTGGTTGCAGCTACTGAGGCTCAGAGTGCTACAGGAGTATTAGGGGAGCCGTTGGCTAGACAGTCATGGGAGCTTTGGAGGAAGTTTCAGATGAATGACATAAGCACAGGTTTAGAAGCCTGACCTGGCTTCATTGAAGGATTGGGTGGGAGCTGTGTGGGGACAGATAGTGGAAGATAGGCTGAAAATATAGGTTAGGCCCAGATTCTCCTCGACCACCAAGCTATGGAGTTTATTTAGTAAGCCATGAAAACTTCTTTGATTAATCATAATATATAAATTGTACAGTGTTTCCTTTTTTAACAAACAGAAAAAAAGGGGGCAGCATAGCATTGTAGTTAAGAACACTGACTCCTGAGCAAATTATTTTGGTCCAAGTCCTGCTCTCTGACTTGTTAGCTATGTGATCTTTGGTGAGGAACTTAACTTCTCTGTGCCTCATTTTCCCCACCTCTAAAGTACTTGCCTCATAGGGTTGTTAAGGATTACTGTGAGGATTAAATACATTAGTGTATGTAAAGCACTCAGAAGAGTGCATGGTATATAAGTGCTGTATATTGTTTTTAGGTCCCATTGAGTTGGTTCTGACTCATAGCAACCCTATGTACGACAGAACAAAATACTGCCCAGTCCTGTGCCATCCTCACAATTATACCAAACCAAAAACCCAAACCCATTGCCATTGAGTCGATTCTGACTCATAGCAATGCCATAGGACAGAGTAGAATTGCACCGTAAGGTTTCCAAGGCTATGAATATTTACAGAAACAGACTGCCACATCTTTCTCCTGCTGGTGGGTTCAAACCGCCAACCTTTTGGTTAGCAACTGAGCGCTTAACCACTGTGCCACCAGGGCTCCTCAAGTGCTGTATAAGTTACTATTATTTTCGAACCCACTATTTCAGTGGTTCTCATACTGTGGTGTGGTGTATATCAGAATCTTTCAGGGAGCTTGGGAATGTTTTGCTTCCTATTTGCTTGTCGTTGACTTTCCCTTGCATGCCATGACCAACTCCCTAGGTGTCCTCTGTTCCTAGGCACCTCTAAGATTGGTTGGGTTGGGAGTGCTATCAAGTAAGAGGGCAGGCTGTGGGCAGTTAGTGACCCTTACCAGATGGTAAGAAGAATGGCTTGGCCCTGCCTCAACTTCCACACAGCTCCCAACACTGGCCCAGATGACACTTGTTGTAAAGGAACATTGAGGTCTCCTGATCTAGCTCCCATCCAGTCCATAGCATTCCTGTTTCTTCCCTCTCTCTCTCCACCCTCCAAGTGGTAGGTGGGTGATACCTGCTATGTGTAGGTGTTGGGGTGAGATGGGAAGGCCCTCACTGTTCAAGTAAGAATTTTGAATATGTGGAGAAGGAGAGGAAGGGGGAAGGAATGTATACTGATACATACTTTTCATTATTCCACCACTTACAGGTTCCCAGCTCCCACCCCACCCCAAATAAACCTATTGAATCAGAATTTCCCAAGCATTTAGGTTTTCAATATAACAGAATTGCCGCATAGTAATTTTCATGTGCACCTGAATTTGAGAACCTTTAAACTGTTAGTTGTATACACCCAATAACTCTGACAGGTAGGCAGGTATTATTTTATTATTTCTATTTTATTGATGATGAAAGCGAGGATCAATAACGTTTACTGTTCAGACGACTTGTTCAGGACTCAACTCTGAGTCTGACTCTGGGTCTTGGGTAGGCCATTTCCCTATTCTAGGTCAAAGGATTTTGAGCAAAAGTGTGGAGATTTAAAATAATCAGATAGCTGTGGGGGGTAAGTTGGAGCGAGAAGTGCTTCTCCTGAGACTATATTATTTAATTCCAATCAATTCAACAAATTTTATTGAGTTCTTTTTCTGTGAAGCACACTGTCAGGACTTCTTCAGAACAGTTCCAGTGAGATGTAGGAATGGTACAAATGGTTCACTTCATGGTACTGAGTGGCTTGCAGCTGCACTTCTGGATGATCCATTACGATAGCGCTAAGGGTCTGTGTACTTGTTAAAAAGGATGTGGTTAATTTTCCTCACAACATTTCATTGAAGAATCTTTTCTTTAGTCAGATATCCAGCCCAAGATATTCAACCAAAGATCAATTGAAATCTATTTAAGTACCATCCTCCTCCAATACCCTTCTGACCAAAAGCATAGTTATACCCTGTACCCCCAAGAGGAAGCAAGCATAAGACTTCCTAATACATTACAAGGGAACCTTGTAGTTAAGGAGCCCCCAGTGTGTGTGAAACATGTGAGTTGCTTTCATTTGTCACCTTATTTAAGTGGTCAGGAAACCTCTGCCCATCTCTTCGGCTGGATTCCCCACCAATTCCACACGGATCTATCGTGTAGCTCTTGGCCCATACCCTATATGCAAGTTTCCATACCAATTTGTGTCAGTCTTAAGGGTTTGTCTGATGCACTTCCTAGAGACTGTAATTTACTTATTTTTATATCTCCTATAATGTTGTACACAGTAGTGGTCAATAAATATGTATTGACTGGATATAAGAATAAATAAGACACAGACCCAGGGCTGTCCTTATAAATGGGTGATAGAATTGGATATTAATGTGTATGATTTAACGAGTGCTTAATAGGATTTCATGCCACAGATATCTTTCCCATGGTTTGTCATGATGCCTGATATTCTTCCACTGGAATTTATTCCTTCGTGTCGTAAGAACATTTTGATTTTCAAAAGAATCTTTTAAAAAAGGTGAACATTTGGATTCTAACATTATCCAGGCTGGTATGGTGATAAACTCATAGACTGCAAGAACAAATGCCAAATAAATGGCATAGACAATTTGCCTTGCAGGATTTTGGAGAAAAGAGAGAATACTGTAGCCAGGAGTATCAAGGAAAGGGAGCGACTTGAGGTAGGCTTTGAAAGAAAGTTGTTTTCAGAGAAGCAGAAAGGAGGAGGGAAATGTACTTTGAGGAGAGCACACCCACCATCCCAAGGGAGCAGAAAAGGTCACTGCAATTCTTCAGGCTTCCTTCTCTCAGTTAGTGTTTCTGATTTATCACTGCTTGTCACTGAATCTTTTTATAGGTTTATTTTTCAGGAAAAAAACAGTCGTGTCCTAACTGGGTTTTCCAGAGCTTGGTTATAGCTCTAATTGCTGTGATGGCATTTTGGTAAGAAAAACTTCAATGTAATACTATGTCAAGTTCTTTCTTCCTATATTTCCTTTCTCACGTATGAACTGGGGCCTGACCTTCTATTTACGTCGAAGAGAAGAAGTCCTTTAAACCAGGGGCTGACTTTCTATTTAGCTTAGAGATGAGAGAGCCCTTTCTGAACTCAGTTTGAAGGAACAAACACAGGCTTTCTGCACTTAAATGTGGAATGAAGGAGGCCTCCTTAAATATGGAGGATTTTTTAAAATCAACTGATATCCTTTTAGCAATTCACTGTATCTTTCACTAGTGTGTGTGTGTGTGTGTGTGTGTGTGTGTGTGTGACTTTCTTAGTCTTGCAAATAACTTTCTCAAGTTCTTTGTTCTCCTTTCTGTCTTCTTGTGGGAATGGAGTAAGTAGGTAATTCACTCTACCCTATTTATTAGGATTCTTTTTGATTCTTCAGTGAAGATCTTACACCAAAGGTACTATGACATTATCCTAAAATGTACAATAAGATAAAATTGAAGTCAAATTTACTAAGTCGTTAAATCAAGCAAATCCAGTGTTTGCTATGCAAGCATTAGGTGACTTTTGTCCAGCCATCCTTCCTCCTCCGGTGGGTGGGAGTGACCTCTTGCTAGGATGCAGGAATCTTTCTCTGGCTTCTGGTCTTCAGGCTTCAGCTCTTGCTGTGATGCCCCCTCAGCCTTTGAGCCCTGGTCAGCTTGGGCTGCTTTGGGCCTCCTGCTCTTGCCTGTGCTCTCCAGGCCTTTGAATATTCCTTTCTTGTTTTCAATCTGACTATTCACGTGGTGAAAGAAGTACTTATCCCTCAAAAACTGCTTTGTTGATGTGGGAAAGACTGGCTTCTGGGCCTTGTCTCCTGGGAGACAATCATCCTCAAAGGCAAAGCAAGCTACTTTCCCAAGATGCTTCCAGTTGCTTGATCTAAAGCAGCTTCCTAGCTGCAGGAGACAGTGGAGGTCTCTGTACTCTTCTCTCCCTTCAGCATTTTCACATTTGACTTTCTACTGCCCACTATGGGAGCTCACCCAAGTATTTCACACCACTACACAGAATTCTCATAGGAGCCTTGGTACTTTTCTCACTCTAAGTGTGCTTGTCCTTTCCTACTGGGGTTCCCAACTCAGGAGAGCCCAAGCACCTACCTTAGGCAGGTGTACTTAAAGCATTCTCTAGAGACACAGAGTTCCAGGAAAACCCAATGGAAAGGCCAGTTCTGAGGCAAAGATACTGGTTTTGAATGGGCTTATTAGATCTTACGAATCCTAAAATTGTTGACTGTTCAATATTATAAATGGAAGTGTTAGGCTTCTTATCTTGTTTCTGGCCTGTGATATACCGTTTGTTGTTGTTGGGTGTCGTTGAGTCCCTTCTGACTCATAGCAACCTTATGTACAACAGAATGAAATGCTACCCGATCCTGCATCATCCTTCAAAACCAGAGAATTTTCCCTCAAAGAAGAGAGCAGATATTATTTCATTCTATAGTCCTGGAAGTTTCCTGGGTTATGTATTAAGGCAGATGACAGAGACAAACCAGAAAGAGTAGCTAAGGATTACTTATCGGGGTAGGGTAGAGAGTGGAGGAACCTGGAGAACAGAGTAAGGGAAATTGAACCACAGCAGGCAGTTGCCAGGGCAACACTACAAATTCTATCTGACAACATCTTTGGGGCACAGCACCACTTTTCCAGACGGGGTTGTGCCTGCTGGGCAGTAACAAGTTGCTGCTGAGAGCACTTTGGGAATCCTTTCTTTATGAATGGAATTCAAACATGTGACATATTTCTTTGTGTATATGTAAAGATCCCAGATAGTGGTTCTGCTCTCCTATTTGGGGTGACAAAATCTTTAAAAACACAAACACAAATACACAAACTGACAATCATCTGTAGTATTGAATTCCCTGCCCAGGTGTGAAATAGTGGTAAATCCATCACCTTTGATGGGGAACAAAATCATGAGGAACCAGGTGTGAAGTCAAACTGGTAAGATGTCAAGTTAGATAATGAATGCTGTTTCAAGTCCAGCACAAAGTATGACTGAGTTCTTTGGACAGATTTTCTTGTATGACTTGTGACAGAGTTCTAAAGGCAGCCCCAAATGAGGAGAACCCTAACTGCTTGGACTAGTGAGCATTGTTGGGGACAGCTTCCCAAAGCTCAGCACCTTTAAAGAGAGCTTCCTTTTGGATATATATGTTCTGATAATTGAGGGCGGGGGTGCACACTTGTTCTTTTGAAGTCACATAGCGTAGAAATGGATGGTTTATTGCATTTCTTTTCCCTTCCGCTGCCCAATTTGTTGCACTGTGCTCTAAAAAGACAGGCCGCAGGAAGATGTCAGAGAAGTAGCCAAAGGGTTTGGCATGGACAGCTGACTAATCCTGCGCCACCTTTCATCTCAGAATGTGACGGTGCAGATGACCTTCATCAGTGGGATGTGAACTTTGCCCTGACTCTTTCCTGCAAGGAGCAGAGGGCTGCCTCCAGCTATCCACACACTTCCCCTTGTAATCTTCCACTAGTGACAGATGCTTCTCAGACAGCTTGCCAGGGCCAGGGAATTGCTCTGTGGAAAAATCCATCAGCCCAGAGTACCCCAGGAGCCTCTGAGCTCCAGGAAGCTGAGGGCTTTCTCTCACTGGGGCAGAAGGCATAACTGAGCTCGTTTCCATAGTTCTTCTATCAGCCATGACTTCCCTTCTCCCTTCTCTCCTGTCTGTGTGGACTGTTAAGAGCACATCCTTGGCCAGCTGCATGTGTGAGATATGTCTGGAGTCAAATCTGCCACATAATGCCTTCTTCTTCTTTTTTTAAACAGCGCCTTGACAATAGTCTCCATTTACATACTTAGCTTGAAAGATCAAGATCAAAGTGCCCCAAATCTCCTTCCAAGGTGAGAGTCTAGGTCTTGTTTTCCACTGGGGAGGAGGATTCTTAAAGGTCTCCTTCACTAATTATTTGTTCTTTTCCTCCAGCAATATCACAAGCTCTCAGGAGCCAGCTCTGCCACCCATAGCCTCCCCCTCAGGTAAGGTCTTCACATTCCTCACCCTCAAACTCAGCCTGGTTTCGTGTGAATTGTCAACAGAAGAAACCAGCCTTTCTGGTTAACCTTGTTGCTTCCTTCTTCTCTGCCCAATGCCTTGCAGCACTTAATACATCCCTGGCAACCGCACAGCCCTCCCTCCAAGTACCAGAAATAACTTTCTGTGAGGTCCTGCCATGTCAGGAGACTTACTGCTGCCCCATCTGGGGAATCAGAAGTGTCTTTTCAAGTCCTGTGCAAATACAATCCGAGGAGGGGAAGGAACTCCATCAGATGCCATGGGCAGGTAAAGGATGTTCAAAGAAAAACAACTAGGGATTTGAACTTGAATTTTTTTCCATGTCTGTGTTTACTGGATAGTCTGTTAATGGTTCCAAATAATGGCTTTGCTCTCCTATTTGGGGCAGCAAAATCTTAAGAACACAAATACATGAACTGGCAATCACCTATAATATTGAGTTCACTGCCCAGTAATGAAATTTTAGTTGATTCAAATCTTTATAATTTTCACCAAGTGAAAGGGTCTCATTTGTCTGTTGCCAATAAAGATAGTAATAGTAGTACAAGTGCAGTAATTACCTGCACATGGGTAGATATTTTGGCTCACTTAGAACTTAAAAAAATGATGTGCTATCTGGGCTCTCTGCCCAAACCAATCAGGGTAAAATGTAAGCAGCTTTGGAAACTCTAATGAGCTTAGGGTAAGTTTTAAGTCAGTGAAAATCACAAGGTTGTCATTTCATTTTCATAATATCGTCTTCTTCCTCCTCCTAGGGAGATACACACACACAGCCACACAGATTTTTTTTTTTGTAAGTAACGGAATTTTTTTGGTAGAAAATTAATTATGGAAACTTGATCAAGGCCTAAAACTGTAATTATCTATATAAGATCGAATACAATACATTCAATTATATGCTAATTTATTATTGTTTTCAGAAATCCTCTTTTATATATATACATATTAATGAGTGTCCAAAATAATACTGATGATGACGCTAATAATAACAATAAATGCATACTGGTATAGCATCAGGACTGGAGGAAGACTCATTAAGAGCCTGTGGTATGCAGATGATATAACCTTGCTTGCTGAAAGTGAAGTGGACTTAAAGCACTTACTGATGAAGATCAGATTACAGCCTTCAATATGGATTACACCTCAACATAAAGAAAACAAAAATCCTCACAACTGGACCAATAAGGAACAGCATGATAAACGGAGAAAAGATTGAAGTTGTCAAGGATTTCATTTTACTTGGGTCCACAATCAACACCCATGGAAGCAGCAGTCAAGAAATAGCGACACATGGCAGTGGGCAAATCCGCTGCAAAAGACCTCTTTAAAGTGTTAAAAAGCAAATGTGTCACTTTAAGGACTAAGGTGCGCCTGGCCCAAGCCATGGTATTTTCAGTCGCCTCGTGTGCATGCAAAAGCTGGACAATGAATAAGGAAGACCAAAGAAGAATTGATCCCTTTGACTTATGGTGTTAGTGAAGAATATTAAATATACTATGGACTGCTAGAAGAACAAACAAATCTGTCTTGGAAGAAGTACAGCTAGGATGCTCATTAGAAGCAAGGATGGTGAGACTTTGTCTCTTGTACTTTGGAAATGTTCTCAGGAGGGACCAGTGCCTGGAGAAGGACATCATGCTTAGTAAAGTACTGAGTCAGCAAAAAAGAGGAAAATCCTCAACGAGATGGATTGACACAGTGGCTGAACAATGGACTCAAGCATAACAACGATTGTGAGGATGGCACAGGACTGGGCAGTGTTTCGTTCTGTTGTGCATAGGGTCACTGTGAGGCGGAACCAATTCAGCGGCACCTAATAACAACACAACATAACTTATCTATTAGAATGGTGTAGTAACAATAATAACCCTCAAATCACAGTGGCTTAACATGGCAAAAATTTACTTCTCCCTCACTCTATATATCAAAGATGGATCAAAAGAGGGCTTTTGCTCATCGTGTCATTCAGGATCCAGCTGATGGAGACTCCATGTCAATACATATTTCCACAATCTCTAGCAGTGTTAAGAGAATGAGGCGAATAGTGCACTGGCTCTTAAAGCTTCCGCCTATGTGTAATATACGTCACTTCTGCTTATACTTTATTGGCGAAAGCAAGTCACGTTGATCATGTCTATATAATTTTAAAACAAGTGAAGTGCAGTCTTCACATGTGGTGGAAGAAAATGAACTAGAATATTTTACGAGCAGCCCTAATGACTGACACAGAGAATATGGTCAGTAGTAAAAGTTTTAGGGCTGCCATGTAATTTCTGTTTCCTTTTCATATTATTCCATATGCCAGTCTTGAATAAATAACTTTTAGAAGTCATCATTATTATTATCATCACATCATTATCATCATGCAATGGGGTATTACTATATGTGAGGGACTGTCATAAGTAGTTTACATTAATAAATCACCTAACCCTCACAAGCCATAAGAGGCACCACATCTAGAGGAAACAATGTTTGTACTCTTTTTCTCATGAAAGCAATTCTAGATTGAACTTGGGAACAGATGCATCACTATAGGGTGAGAATAAAGGTTTTCAATTTGAAGAAAAGAATTTGTTTCAGTTGTCATATTCTTAGTATTTTTTAATCTGAAAAAATCTAGTAGTGTCACAAAACTCCCCCAAAGCCTTTATCCCTTGCAAAAGCCCATGGAACCTTGAGGCTGGGAAATCCTTTTCTTGCCTTGGGAGTCCAACTTAGGGATACCTGGTGTCCTTTCCTGAAACCAGTCCTCAGAAGAGACCATCCCACCCAAGAGACATATGCTGATAACACTGGATCCTGAATAGAAAGGGGTCCAATCTTGTCCCCTTTCAAGAGATTCCTTTTCTTTTGAGTGAATGTACTGCTGTAGCCAGTAACTCTTCGCATCAAGGGAATACTGGGGAAAGCAGCCCTCATCAAAAACCATGTTAAGCTCTGTAGCTCTCTTCTCTGGAACATTGAGTGACTATTCATCTTATGCTTCTGTGAGAGGCACTGAAGTGACTCCTGAAGAAAGAAGATCTGCTACAGGGTGCCTAGTATGTCCACCTAGACAGAACTAGTAGCTTCTCTGGCTAAAAATGAAATTTAATTTCTGCTTTACCAGGCTCCCTGATACACTGAGAAAGTAGTTTCCTTGTCCCTCTTTCAGCTGGAGAAAAATGGAATGGACTTAAATGTTCTATTCATTTTTACCTTCAGTAATCCTGAAAACTGTTGGGGATTTAAAGTCGTAGAATGCCAGAGAGCTGCTAGACCAGTGGCACCCCAAATTCTTGACCCTGAAAATCCATTATTAACACACTTTTACAATTATTTAATAGAAAATATATAAAGGGAGACTGTAACTATAAATTCAGTTAAACTTTTAATTAAATTATTTTTATTAACTCAACAGCAACATTTGAAAAATAGTACAAATCTATGACAGGGATGTTACTTTTCAAGTCCAGAGAGAACACCACAGACTCCTTTATGCAACCACCCAAGGTTCCAAAGTCCCTAGGTCAGGAGCACTTCTTATTTATACTAACATTGTACAGCTGATAAAATGGGGGCCCAGGACCTTGCCTAAGTTCCCGCAGTGAGTTAGTAGCAAAGTTGGATCTGGGTTCCTTTCACCATCCTGCCTCTATTTATTTGAGCATGGGGTGTTCATGTACCTGGGATTAACTAGAGAAGATGCAGAAAGTCTCCACTCTGTGATTCTAGATAGCCCCTTTATGCCCCAGGTTTGCTTCCAGCCATTGAGACGTCCCTAGTGTGGGATATTTCTGGGGGAGTCTGAGGATAGGCACTTTCATTCTGCTGATCCATCCTCCCCCTCTATCCAGGGCACTGTGTAACACCAGGGTTCCTAAATCCAAAAGAGAGGAAAGCTAGGCAACTATTTTAGCTACATATTTCTGGGGCATTATAGACCAATTTAAAAATAAGGAATAAATATAAAAAAAGAAATTCAAGGATTAGGAACAAAAAACTTAGGAAAACTCACAGTGCGATACACGGTAATATCTAATAGTTTACTGAGCCCTGAGGAGTACCACTACAGGTAAAACAAGTAAAGGGAAACCATCATTTTTATTACATGCTGAGCGGAAGTCCTTATTCTTCTTTTGGGCCTAAGTTGATTTTTTAAGTCTATGTAAAGTGTCTTTCACAGATACTTTATTTTTTCCCCTACACTTAATAAAAAGTTTGGGTAAGAACTAATCACAAAGTAGAAGGTGCCTTGTGGAATATTGAGATTTTACTCTAAAGATTCGACTGAATGTGATAGATTAGATTTTAATACATGGAACTAGTAAAGATTTAAGTACACAGCAGACTTAGGTATTAAAAGGTAAAGAACCTGTTGGGGAAAAAAAACATCTATGGAATTCTTCAGATTGTAAGAGAGTTGGTGAAGATTTTAAAAAATATATCACAAAACAAAAGGGCATTTGGAATTCATGCTCATTTTATTTTGAAAACCATAACTCTGAGGAGAGCAAACAGCCAAAAGAAAATGGTCCCCTATGTTAGATGACTCAGCCATTGATTGGTGGGGCTCACAGACATCTTCTTGGTATTAGTGTGGTTCAATCAAGGGAAGAGAAAGTTAGCCAAGACCCTGTATTGGAACTTAGCCATGAACACAGTTTTACAGGCAGTGCAGTGTATGTTTTGGTTGGATAGTTTTGCAAAACTCTCTTCATCAGAAGTTTCTAATTTAGTTTATGGGGTCTCCTCCCCCAAATTGTGAAATATACCCCCAATGTTACAATGAAACCCATTGGGAATGCACTGTTAATTTTGTAGTGAATATTGCTGAAAGACATTTATAAATGAGAGCCACCCTTGTATGACTACAGGAGAATTTATGGTTTTCCAATAACCATAAATTGAATAGTCTTGCTTCGAGCAGTGACAAATTGGGGGTGTTTCATAGGAGATTTAAAAATTGTTAGTTCAAAACCTGATTTTGAACAGCTATTTTCATAATTCTAATCTTCAAGATTAATTACATCTCCTCAAAGTCACCTTTTGATTACTGTTAAAAAAAAATACTTTATCCCATCAGATACTCAACTCTACTTATAGGGTTCTGTGTCTCCAGAAACCTGAAAACATGGTTCTGTGGAAATGTGACAAATCTGTACTTCTATTGCCAGAATTTAAAATGAACCCTTTTTCTGCAAATTCAGCAGGAAAGTAGAGCAAAAGGTGGGGGAAGAAAACAGACAGGATAGAGAAGTTATGGTTTCCCTTCTCCTAACACCTACTTTGTGGAGCGCTGGTGCTGACCAAAAGGTTGGCAGTTCGAGTCCACCAGCCGCTCCTTGGAAACCCTATGGGGCAGTTCTACTCTGTCACTATGAGTCGGAATGACAGCAATTTTTTTTTTTTTTTTTAATATCTCCTTTGCCCTGTAAATTTACAGCCTTGTGTGGAGGCTGTCATAAGCAAAACTAATAGCAGGAGACATGGAGCTTGAAAATTATTAGAATAGCTGGAATCCAAGAAATCTGGGAGCCTTTTAGACAGCACATATATATATATATATATTTATTGTCAAGGTAAAGAAATATTGAATTTTCTAGAAAATCCTCATATCACGATCCCACTCTCCTGAATGGAAAGTATCACATTAAGCAGGATACTAACTACCTTGTCCGCCTTCAAGTTCCAAATCACTCCCATTTGCTAATGAGGTGAAGGAGCCCAGCTCCCCACCTTCCCATCTCCATTGCCATTATCCTTCTGCACAGACTCTGGGAATTTTCGCCTTGAGCACATAAAAGTAAACATTTTTCTAGATGTTATGTTATTGGCCTTCCTTCTTCCCTTCCTTCCTCTTTCCCTGCTTCTCTTCCTTCCATAAATATTTATTGAAAGCCTGCAGTGAGCCAGGTAGTCCGTTATCTGGGAATACGACAGTGAACCAGACGCCTTACTCAAGGCTCACAGTTACGTGAGCAGACAAGAAAGCAAGCCCTGCCACCTGAGTGTGAGAAACACTAACTAGGACAGAAATACTAGGAGTGATTGTCCCCAAGTAATGTGCACTGATGCTTTTGCTTTCTATCTTGAAATTCAACACAGCAACTTGAACCTAGATCTAAATCTGCAAATTAAAAAAAGAAAGAAAGACTGCAAAAACTTTTAAATTCTTTTGTTATGTTTGTTTAGCAACTCATTAAATGATCGCTGTCACTATCCACTTGAAAGAATATACTTTTTTTTAATATATATGACCTTGACAACACTCTTTTGAATGGTTGCATTTTTCAAAACTGCTTTCCCAAAAGGCCTTTGTGGAATTACAGAGAACACAGCCACTCCCCCATCTCCCTTCCCCACCAGCCTGCTCTGGCTCCACCCCAGTGATTCAATTCCTCTCTTCCCCTGGCTGTGGCTCAGGCCTCACCTTAAACTTTGAGCTCACTTTTTTTCCTGCGTGGATCACATTTCATACATTTCCAGGAAAGCAGAAATGTGGACTCTGGTATCAGACTGTTTGGACTGGAATTCTTCCTCTATTCCTTATCCATAGGATGACCCCTCAGTTTCTAAGTTTGCTTATCTGTAAAGTAAGGATAACCTCCCTCTTAGGACTGGTGTAAGGCACTCAGAAGAAACAGAATCAAACCCTGTGCCATGGAGTCGATTCCACCTCATAGCAACCCTATGGGGACAGAGTAGAACTGTCTCACAGGGTTTCCAAGGATGTAATCTTTATGGGAGCAGATTGCCAGGTCTTTCTCCCTTGGAGTAGCTGGTGGGTTTCAACTGCTGACCTTTCAGTTAGCAGCTGAGTGCTTTAGCCACTGCACCACCATGGCTCCTCAGAATAGTGTTTAATAAACAGTAAGTGACCAATGAATAGTAGTTATCATTATTATCCTTCAATGCAAGCATGCACAGGCCTCATAGCATTTCATCCAACATTTCATATTCAACTCGTTAAACAATTAGGAAGGCACTTAAACGCAATTTATTTTATAAGTTTTGCTCGTCTTCAAAGACCCCAAACTCTATTTGTATGAAAAATGTTATTATTTCATTATTTTACCACAGAGATAATCCTGCTCTTGTTTTTCTTAGTTTTTACCCACTTTCTCTACTGTTCTTGAACCAAATTCTCTATTTTAACAGGGTCCATCAAACAGCAGGAATACAATGGAAGTAGGCAGGGTTGGGAAACCAACGGGGACCAATATACACTCAGCACTAAGCAGTACTTCGGTAGGACTTGGGCTCAGTTCTAAAGAAGTTATTAAAATAGTCAATTCTGTCTCCTTGCCTTTCCCTTGGCTCTCCAGGAATAGTCTGGAAATCAGATTCCAAACATGCATGTTATTCTTTCTCCTTCCCGCTTTCTAAATGCTATATTTTAAAGGACCTTTGCTTTCACTTAGGAAAAGAAATACAGTTAATAAGTATCTCCCTGCCCATTAGCAACTTCATATGAGTAAGGTTTGGGTTGGGCAGAGCAGTTGCTTTTAGGGCCTGTTTTCTTACTCAAGAGGTAGAACAGGATCAACAGGGAATCAACAGGAAGGTAAATGCTGGCTCAATAAAAGGAAAACCTGGTGTTCAGAGCTGCCCAGAAGCAGAATGGGCTGCTGCCTCAAGAGTTAGTGAGTCCCCCATCAGGGATTCTCTGATGCCTTTTTTTCATTTTTTTTTTTCATTACTATGTATGATGTTAAGATAGTAACACTAAGGTTCCTAGAAAAGAACCCAGAGAGCTTTGATTGGAGAATTCGTTTCCAAATAGTTTGGGTTAACAAGACTTCTCATTCACAAACTAGAAAAGAAAACCATCATTAATCAAATAAAATGGTTTCCATAATATGAATAAAACATTATGCCAGGAGCTACAGAGATTCAAAGAAGGTTAATGAGGGTTCCTACTTTGGAGTTGTCAAGAAGGGGTAAAATATATGAAAAGTGAAGTAATAACAGAAATAATATGCACTTCAAATAGTGAGAAATATATCACTGATTGATCACCACATACTTGGTTTCAGTAATAAATGCTATAGCGTTAGAAAGGAGGAACTGTGAGCTGCAGCAATATGATTTGGTATGGCTTTTTGGAGCCCTGATGGCAAAGTAGTTAAGAGCTTGGCTGCTAACCAAAAAGTTGGCAGTTTGAATCCACCAGCTGCTCCTTGGAAACCCTATAGGGCAGTTCTGCTCTGTCCTATAGGGTCCCTATGAGTTGGAATCATGAGTTGGAATTGACTGGCTGGCCCCTATGGGTTTGATTTTTTTTTTTTCTTAGAGAATGGTGAGAATAGTCTAGGTCTGTAAGGAGAGGGTAGGGATTGAATGGGTCGAAAGATAGGAGAGAGAAAGGGTAGGGAAACATTTAGGTCAGAGGTCTCTCTGACCCTCTACCAGGGTACCACATTGGATTTCTTCTCATACTGAATAAGTTTTAAAGACTGACAGACTTTTTTCCTCCTCAGAAGATAGAAGGAAAACATTCCTGGCAAGAAATGAGCAAACCGGCCCTGACTGGGGAAGTGACTGTAAGTTTATGTTGAAGTGACTCTATTCTTGGGCCTAGTGTGTGGGGCCAGGCAGAGTAATAATGAAGTATAAAAGCATCACTAGAGTGAGAAATGGGGACGAAGGCTGTGCGCACACACACTCATACACACACGCTTACATGCACGTACACACACGTACACACACGTGCACACATATACACGTGCACACACACATGCACGCATGCACGTACACCAATGGAGGTATGTTTTATAACTGATGCCAGCCTAATAGTGAGGCATTAGATATCACCACTCACTACCAGACAAGTTGTGCTTGATCTCCATGATTTTTCATCACATATTTTGAACCCCCTGTCCTCATCTTCTATTCTATTTGTTTTCTGTTTTCCGATTTTTAAAAGTTTTCTATGTCTGCATTGCATTTCACATTAAAAAAAACCCATTGCCATTGAGTCAATTCCGACTCATAGTGTCCCTATAGGACAGAGTAGAACTGCCCGTAGGGTCTCCAAGGAGTGCCTGGTGGATTCGAACTGCTGATCTTTTGGCTAGCAGCTGAGCTCTTAACCACTATGCCACTAGGGTTTCCGTATTTCACATTACACCCTCCATTTTCAATAAATTTCAATTTAGTAGGATTTTCATGGCCCAGAAATTCTTTTGGATGTTATGAGGTTGCTTATTTGGGCCTGAATTTTTATTAGTTTTCTTAAAACCCCCTGTAATAAAAAAGCTTCTCCTCTTCTCCTCCTCCTTTGTCCAGTTTGAATGCAAAATGGAATCCATTTATCTAGGAAACTCTTATTTCTCATTCTACAGTTTGAACTGTGATGAAGCACAATTCCCTCCCCCCACCCCGCAAGAGTTTACTTCTTTTCTCTTTTTCTTCTCAATTCAGGGACTGATACAACCATCAGTTCTATTCAGATTATGGAAATCCAGCAAAGGATAGATCATCGGTATTGCAGTAGAAGCCTCCAGTGCGGGTGGGTAAGCCTCCCATTCTGCTCCTGTTTGTTCTGGAATTTATCCAGGGTTCTGGGATTTTATTGCTTTAATACAGTCATGTGTCACTTAACATCCATGATACGTTCTCTGAAATAGTGGTACATTATGTGATTTGGGCATTGTGCAAACACCATATTATATACCGGCAGTCCCTGGGTTACGAACGTCCAATTTACGTACAACCCCTAAAGCCTATCATATTAAAAATTTGAGGTACATACAATAGTTTGTAATAACAAATGGGTGCTGCTTTGCAATGTACATGCAGTCAGACGTTGCCCAAATGCACCTTATACATATACGTACATACATACATGTATATTTTTTATGTGAAAAACGCACCTTCTGCATTTGTTTGCCAGCTGTGCCTGCCCCCTTGAGAGGTATTTTCATAAGCATGCTATGCTAATTTTTTTTTACAGCAACACATGGAAAAGAATTGGTATGTCAGTGCTTGTGAGGGTACCTCGCAGAGGAAGGGCACAGCCAGCAAACAAATGCAGACTGCATGCATTATTTGTGTAAAAATACAGTGTGTGTGTGTGTGTGTGTGTGTGTGTGTGTGTGTGTGTAATACACTTGCCAATTCAACATTGTTTGGATGTGCAATTCAGTGACACCAATTACGTCAATTGTGTTGTGCAACCATCACCGGTATCTGTTGTAGGGCTTTGAGTTTTTAAAACCAGAATTATGTTTCTGAAAGCAAAAGCTACGTGGTGAAATCAATGTGTATTTTTGTTGCTCCTTAAGTCAAAACACATTTATTACATGGTGGGAGAGGGAATCATAAAATGGTTAGTATTAGCAAATGTCAACAAACTATGGCTCCAATGATTTCAGTCTGCTGGTTTATAAATAAGTCAAAAGCAAAAGGCCCGTCTATTTAAAAGACCGGACTTAATGGTTTAATTGAGACTGGAGGAACCCTGGAGGACATGGCCTCTGGACTCTCTGTCAGCCAGGACTGAAACCATTCCCGAGGCCAACTCTTCAGACAAAGATTAGACTGGACTGTGGGACATAAAATGATGTGAAGAGTGTGCTTCTTAGCTCAAGGAGATACATGAAACTAAACGGGCAGCTCCTGTCCAGAGGCGAGATGAGAAGGCAGAGAGGGTCAGGAGCTGGTTGAATAGAACGGGAAATCCAGGATGGAAAGGAAGAGTGTGCTGTCACAGTATAGGGAGAGCAACTAGGGTCACAAAGCAATGTATGTATAAGCTTTTTCGTATGAGAGACTAACTTGAATTGTAAACTTTAACTTAAAGCACAATAATAATAAAAAAAAAAAAGTTAAAAAAAAAAAAGGCAAAAGGCCCGGAGAGCAGCTCTGTGGCTGCCTCTCTGAGGGCACATACCATAGGTGCAGAGCTGATAGGTAATTTTATAGACAGGAAAGACATTATTACCAATAACTCCAGGTTATGAGTGAGCTGACATTTGTATAATTTAATAACAAGGGATATCATTATTTTAATTGTTGAAAAAAAGGAGCTTATCTTAGCTTTTTCAGTTAGGAAGGAAAAATCCAGGTACTACAAAACTTGTAAGCAACATCCATGTCCATTGTATGTTGTATCACCTGTACTGAGGTAATGATGCGTCTAGATGCAGAGAGCGCCAGTAGCTTCAGCCAGCACAATGTGGAAGTTGTAGACATTAAGAATGGGAAGGTTTTTTTTTTAATCATGTAACTATTGATGGAGAGCCTGCTAGGTTAAAGGCAAGATGCTAGGCCCTGTCCTTTTTTTTTTTTTTCAAATATTGTGAAAATTTTATTTTATTGAACTTTAGGTGAAGGTTTACAGAACAAATATTTTCTCATTAAATAGTCAGTACACATATTGTTTTATGACATTGGTTAACAACCCCATGACACGTCATCACACTCCCTTCTCCACCTTGGAGGACTTTTTCTTTTTTGGTGGAAATATACATAGCCAAAGATACACCATTTCAAAAATTTCCACATGTACAATTCGGTGACGTTGATTACGTTGTTCCAGTTGTGCTGCTATTCTCACTTTAGATGAAGATTTACAGAACAAAATAGTTTCTCATTAAACAGTTAGTACACATATTGCCCTATGACAATGGGTAAGAACCCCACTACATGTCAACACTGTCCTTATTCAACCTTGGGTTCCCTATCACCAGCTTTCCTATCCCCTTCTGCTTTCTGGTCCTTGTCCCTGGACTACTGTTAGGTCCTGTCTTTTGAACTAGTGTCACAAATCCTCTGGGTTATCAGCTTATTTCCTTTTCAACTTGATTTAACTATTTTTAGGCTTCAAGTTGATGGTCTTGAGTAATAAAAATAACCTGTATGATGCCATATGGAGCCCTGGTGGCACAGTGATTAAGAGATACAGCAAGCTATGGCTGCTAACCAAAAAGTTGGCAGTTTGAATCCACTAGCTGCTCCTTGGAAACCCTATGGGACAGTTCTACTCTGTTCTATAGGGTCACTGTGAGTCAGAATCGACTCAATGGCAATGAGTTCAGTTTTTTTTTTTTTAATGATGCTATATGATTAGTTTATGAGCTCTACATTCATTAACTCATTGAATTCTCACAAAATGCTTATAAGGTTGGTATTATTTACCCCCATTTTGTACTAAGGAATCTGAGGTTCAGTGAGCTTGAAAGAGTTTGCCTGAAGTTGTTCACCTAGGAAGTGTCTGAGACTGAACATTAATTTATGTGGTAGAGTGACATAATGAAGAAGAGTCAGATGATTCAGGTTCAAATCCCAGAACTTCAGTAAGATGCTTATTCTCCCTGTGTAGAAGGGGATACTATCCTATCTGTAAGATGCGGATACTATCTACTGAGTTGGGTTGCTGTGAAGTGTATAGGTATTATCAAAAACCAAACTCCTTGCCGTTGAGTCGATTCTGACTCAGCTATAGGCATTGGGAGGTAAGAAACGAATTCCATTAATCTAAGCTTCCCCCGGTTGAACAAATCTCTCCTGATCCTAATCCAGATCTTTCTATCTCCTTTACTTTTGCTTTGCCATTTTTAACATCTTATTTTTACATTTTTAACATTAAAGAGAATCTAAAATGATTGACCCTTTCCCCCCATTTATCTAGTTTTAAGTTGTTTTCGCCATATTATTCAAAGGGATGGCCGGATCATAAGAACTTGTATTAGATACAATACATGTTTTTGCTGGAGTTTTCCATTGCAATAAGAATCAAAAGAACTCTTTCTTTTTCTCCCAAGTATCTCTCTTAAAAGGGGAGAAATCTATACATAATCATTTCTTTCTTAATATTTTTTCGTAACTAAACAGTAATTAGGACAATAATAATTTTAGTTCATTCGAGTTTTGAAAGTGCATGGTATTTCTTGCTAATGTTGCTTTAAAGAGAATGACTTATGGTAGAAAAGCTGGTATTTATTATTTTCAATCCCCCCGGAAAGCTTGAGACTTTTGCCTCATTTGTCTTCTGAAATCTGTATCTCCTAAGGGAAACTGAAGTTTTACTTCCTGCGTGTTTAGTTTTATGTGTTTGGTCTGAGATTTGATTTTGTATCATTTGGTCTGTGTGTTCTAAAAAAATATAAACATTTGTGGCAGTGTTTATATTAAGAACTGAAGGAGATCACTTTGTAAAATTTGGCAGGTATGTCTCTGAGAAATATAGAATTATACCATGTTAGGAGCCCTGGTGGTGCAGTGGTTAAGAGCTCGGCTGCTAACCAAAAGGTTGGCAGTTGGAATTCACCAGCTGCTCCTTGGAAACCCTGTGGGGCAGTTCTACTCTGTCCTATAGGGCTGCTATGAGCCGGAATCAACTTGACGGCAGTGGGTTTTTATTATTATTTTTTAAACAGGTATACCATGTTAAACGTGATGTTCTTTATTATTTCTCATATAAAACTTAACAGCTGACGTCATATATGATGAGTAACAAAAAGCCTTTTGAAGCCTTTCCTACGTATTTTGATTTGTCATTTTATTTATTTTTTTCACAATCAGGTCTGGAAATTACAATTACAATATTCCTGTTAATAAGCACACACCCACTAATGTCAAATTCTCTCTGGAAATCAAGTAAGTGCATAGCTGTAAAAAAAAAAATCAGTTTTTATTATTCATTGAATAGTAAGTCTGAATTTTTCTCTACAGTTGATCAGGAAGTTAGGAGGTAGAAAGCTCTCAGTGCATGATAACTGATGATCGTTGAGTTGAGAGGCAGGCTCTCTTCCAGGCACCCTTCAGTTCAATGGGAAGGCTCTGGGCTGTGTGCTCAGGCCTGAGAAGGGGATGACCTTGAGTTTGATGGTCATGAGCTGCAGACTTCCCTGGCTGTCTCCCTTTGAGTTGGGGTGGGAGGAAGAATAACTGCTTGGTTCCTAGATGGGAGACTGCATATTTTGGTGAAATTGGGCCACATTGCTAATGTAGACAGCACCCCTTCTCCCAGGGTAGAAAAAAAGGAGCCAGAGTTCGGAATTGGTCTGACCAGAATTCACATTCTCTCTGTCACTTATTAATTACGTGATCTTGGAGAAGCTACTTATTCTCTCTGAGCTACATTTCTTTATCCATAAAATGAGTAGAACATTATACCATAAAATACAGAGCTGCTGTAATAATTATTGTTAATAGTAGTGAAATTAATGGCTATCATTTGTTGAGCACAGACCATATGCCAGATACTCCACTTTAATACTGTGTACTGAGTCATATATACAACAACCCGCTGAGGTTGGTTTCTTCCCCCCGCTAGTTTATGTTTTTTCAGATGAGAACATTTGGGTTAAGATAGGTCAAAGAACTTGTCCCAAACCTCACAGCTAGTAAATGATGGAGTTGGGCTTAAAACTCAGCCCATCCTTTTAACCATCACTCTCCTGCCTCCCAAATGAGATAAGATATATAAGGATTTTGCCCATTCCTGGCACATGATAGGTGTCTTAGTCATCTAGTGCTGCTATAACAGAAATACCACAGGTGGATGACTTTAACAAAGAGAAATTTATTCTCTCACAGTTCAGGAGGCTAGAAGTCCAAACTGAGGGTGCCAGCTTTAGGGGAAGGTTTTCTCTCTCCGTCGTTTCTGAGGGAAGGTCCTTGTCATCAATCTTCCCTGGTGAAGGAGCTTCTCAGCACAGGAACCCTGGGTCCAGAGGACACCCTGTTCTCCTAGCTCTTGTTTCTTGGTGGTATTATGTCCCCATGTCTCTCTGCTTGCTTCTCTCTTATTATCTCAAAAGTGATTGAATTAGAACACAACCTAATCTTGTAGATTGAGTCCTGCTTTATTAACATAACTGCTGTTAATCCCACCTCATTAACATCACAGAGGTAGGATTTACAACACATAGGAAAATCACATCAGGTGACAAAATGGTAGACAATCACACAATACTGGGAACCATGGCCTAGCCAAGTTGACACACATTTAGGGGATATAATTCAATCCATAGTAATAGATGCTCCATAAATAGTAGCTATTATTAGGACTGCCTTTCCACCCAAATCACAAAACTCTAATTTAATTTATTCTTATCAGATATTTCAAATAATTATGATACTTTAGGACTTTTAATACATCTAATTAAAAAGTTATGTCATGAGCCTCTCACCAGGAAGATTGTTGTTGTTGTGTGCTGATAGTATTTATTTTGTGCCTTTTAGTTTTAGTCTCTCCTTTTCTTCCCCTTCCCATTTCTTTTCCTCTTCCCTTCCTTCTCTTCCTCTTTCCTTCAGCCCTGCTCATTCTCCTTCTACCTCCCCAGTTTTGTTATTCCTCCTCCATCATTTTTTCCAACTCTCTTTGTCTCTTCCTCTGTTTCACTCAGACTACATACTCCTTCTCTCATCAAATTTGCGTCCAGGAGGAGCTGATGACATTTGACCCAACTGCTTACATCGTTTGTTATTAGCTTTCGAGGGAGGGAAATAAGCTTAAGTGGTATTCCCCTGAAGTGGCAGAAGGCCATCTTGAGCTACTGAATTAAGCCTTTTTGTTTAAGAACCATTTTTCTAATATGGATAATTTTAAAATAACACATATACTCAACTGAGATTTTAAGTTGTGTACACAACAATTGTGCTTAAAGACAAATGGATCTCATCTTCTTGGTGATAATTAATGAGCTGACCTCCAGAGAAGGGCAAACATCCTTTCTCACAGGACTTCCACTCTGTGATAGCTTTGCAGGCTAGTGATTTCTAAGGGGACTCACCCCCAAATCCCTACCTGTGTTTGTTTGCCTTGCTGTTTCCAACAATATCGCTCCAGATCAGGAGTTGGCAGAATCTAAAATCCTGGAAGCGTTGATAGATACAGTGAAAAGAGAAAGGGATATATCCAAAAATTGTTTTAAAAATGTATGGCAATGAGAAGTTCTGATGTTGAGGTGATTTAAGACATGACAGTTGGTTTTAGAAACTGGCGTATGTTATCTCAGTAGTCATCTGAGATGAGGTTTTATTCTGTAATAATAAGACATGAGCCAACATATTGATATCAGTGAGTCTGTGTAATAAATGCCTTCTGCAAAGTTTGAATGGATTTCTAGGTTATATTCCTATTAGTTCCTCTTCCTAGTGAGGTGTAGCTAAGTAGGAGCTGGTAACTGCTTTTCCATTTGCCCTTCTTTCCTTTGTCTCCTGAAGCACAACAGAGCTATTGATAGTCTTCCAGTGCAAATTCATCCTTGGAAATATATGTTTCCATACTCAAAGCGAAGCCAAAGGGACCCAAAGTCAGAGCAAAATCTCCCAGGAGATGACACAGGTAATGTTTTCCAGGGTTTTCTGGTTCCTTGGTTCTATGTCCCTATTATAAATGGAAATGTGTCTAGAGCTATGGCATAGTTTATGTTTACCTCTAAGAGAGAGATGGATGTTATTAGTTAACATTTAGTTGGCACTTATTCATAGTGACCCCATGTATAACAGAACAAAATGTTGCCTGGTCCTGCACCATCTTTATGATTGCCGTATGCTTGAGTTCATTGTTACGGCCACAGTGTATTCTGAGTGCCTTCCAACCTGGGGGCTCATCTTCCAGCACTGTATCAGACAGTATTCTATTGTGATCCATAGGTTTTCATAGGCTAATTTTTTAAAATAGATGACCAGACCTTTCTTCCCAGTCTGTCTTCGTCTAGAAGACCTGCTGAAACCTGTGCATCATGGATGACCCTGATGGCATTTGAAATATTGGTGGCATAGCCTCCAGCATCATAGCAACTCGCAAGCCACCACAGTACAACAAGCTGACCTTCGGCCAAATGCCAGTGTTTTCCTTTGCTGGCTGACCTTGGTCCCAGAGGTTTGATCAGCATCTTTCTTGTGTCCTTAAGATGCTGTAGACTGTTATAGCCACACCTATCAAAAACTGTTATTACAGACACTCTCTTCCAGTAGTCAAGGAAATGCTCTCTCTGCCTAAGTGTAAAATATGGTTATGAAATGGACCTTTCTTTCATCATTATTTAGGGATATCAACACATTTGGAGTCTCCCTGTAGCTCCTTTCTCTGACAGTGTGTACCATTTTCGTGTAGCTGCACCGGTAAGCTTTCTTTCCTTCTTCTTTTTTTTTTTTCGTTTTCTTTTCAGTGGGAAACAAATGGACCACTATATATATAACACTTTAATTACAGTTAATGCTTGCATTAATCTTTCTCTCTCTTTTTTTCTGTTCTGACAGGATTTAGCCGACTGTTCAACAGATCCTTATTTTGCTGGAGTATTCTTTACAGATTACTTCTTTTACTTCTATCGACACTGTACCTAATTTATTCAGGTTTGGTTGGAAACTCTACCAAAGAAAAATACTCCAAATACAGTTAACAGAAACTCATATTCTCTTTGAAGTTTCTTTGTTCTTTTTGTAAAACATTCACGTTTATTGCTAAAAGACTGTTTCAGGCTTTGGCTTCCAACAGTTTGGAGACATTAATGAGGAGAATAAAGTGTTTGCTGGAACTTGAGATAATGTGGTGTTTGATTTTTCCATGGTTATGAAGAAAATATTTCCTGAAATAAACAGTTCTCTTGGATTTAAAAATACTGCTTCTGGTATTAAGGAAGCTGTGAGGTCAAAATAGGCAGCTCCAACTTTATTTTTCTTGATGTATTTCAAAGATTTTGAGAAAAATAGAGACCCATTTTAGCGTGGTCAACTTGGACCCACTAAGCATGGACTTAGTTGAGAATGTGTGATATGGTGTGTTTGTTTGGGGGGAGGGTGGTGTCTGATGCTAAGTTCACGTTTAGGCAAACTATTGCTATGTGTTTGTGGGCATGTGTGTATCTGTATTACATACACACATATACTAGGATGCAGAATGCAGCTTACTGATAAATGCTTTGTGATGCTCGATGGTCACTAAACTTTCTGTAAGGGTGGGATAGGCCCTTTTATGAAGATGGAAGTACTAATTGGTGACATGGTTTTTAGGTAACTTAGCCAGTCTAAATAGTAGCATTTGACCTTCCAGTTGTTTTTGCTTCTGAGTTTTTTTTACCCCCCTCTACATATGAGGGATCCTCTAACAGGGCATTAAGATCCATCTTAATTCTTCAGTGCTGAATTAGCTTCAGATATTTTTACCTGGGTTATGAATGGATTCACATACCCTTCCCAACTCAGAATGGCCAGAAACCCTCTACCTGGAGATCCAAGTTGCTCTAACTCTAGTTGCAGGTAACAGGCCTGCTGAATAGCCAGCTGTCTCTCATCTTACTGTTGGTCTGTGAGTCAATTAGGATGGGAAAATTGAATTTTTTACCTTGCAGTGGTAATTAGCAGTAATAATACATCCACCTCTTCCTTATTTTCAGATTTTGTTAAACATGTGCCAGGTGGATGGAAATTAATTGGGAGACCCCAATTGCTAAGAAAAGTAAAGTCATGATCCTTGCTGTCATGGAAGACATTTTGAAATAAACTTGTTAACACTAGGTAGTTAAGTCTCTGGGTGGTGTAAATGGTTAAGTACTCAACTACTAGTTGAAAGGTTGGTGATTTGAACCCATCCAGAGCCACCTCAGAAGATAGGCTTGGTGATCTGCTTCCAGAAGGTCACAGCCTTGAAAACCCTATGGAGCAATTCTACTCTGCACACATGGGGTCTCCATGAGTTGATATTGACTCAACAGCAACTCACAACAGTAAAACAACCTGGTGATTAGGAGATCAGACTCTACAGCTAGACAGTCCTAGACTTGAGTTCCAATCTTGATTTTATCTCTGTATCCTTAGGCACCCCCACGTGTCTGTCAGTTTGTCATACTGTGGGGGCTTACTTGTTGCCATGATGCTGGAAGCTATGTGACCGGTATTCAGATACCAGCAGGGTCACCCATGGTGGACAGGTTTCAGCTGAACTTCCAGACTGAGACAGAGTAGGAAGAAGGAACTGGCAGTCTACTTCTGAAAAGAAGTGAAAACCTTACGAATAGCAGCAGAACATTGTCTGATATAGTGCCGGAAGATGAGCCTCTCAGGTTGGAAGGCAGTCAAAAGACAACTGAGGAAGAGCTGCCTCCTCAGCGTAGAGTCGACCTTAATGACGTGGATGGAGTCAAGCTTTCAGGACCTTCATACTGATGTGGCACGACTCAAAATGAGAAGAAAGAGCTGCAAACATCCATTAATAATTGGAACATGGAAATGTACAAAGTATGAATCTAGGAAAATTGGAAATTATCAAAAATGAAATGGAATGTATAAAGATAGATATCCTAGGCATTAGTGAGCTAAAATGGACTGGTATCGGCCATTTTGAAGCAGACAATCATATGGTCTACTATGCCAGGAATGACAACTTGAAGAGGAATGGCGTTGCATTCATCATCAAAAAGAACATTTCAAGATCAGTCCTGAAGTACAATGCTGTCAGTGATAGGATAATATCCATACGCCTACAAGGAAGACCAGTTAATACAACTATTATTCAAATTTACGCACCAACCACTGAGGCCAAAGATGAAGAAATTAAAGATGTTTTACCACCTATGTAGTCTGAAATTGATCGAATGTGCAATCAGGATGCACTGATAATTACTGGTGACTGGAATGCGAAAGTTGGAGATAAAGAAGGGTCGATAGTTGGAAAATATGGCCTTGGTGATAGAAACGATGCTGGAGATTGCATGATAGAATTTTGCAAGACCAATTACTTCTTCATTGCAAATACCTTTTTTCACCAACATAAACAGCGACTATACACATGGACCTTGCCAGATGGAATACACAGGAATCGAATCAACTACATCTGGGGAAAGAGACAATGGAAAAGCTCAGTATCATCAGTCAGAACAAGGTCAGGGGCCAACTGTGGAACAGACCATCAATTGCTCATATGCAAGTTCAAGCTGAAATGACGAAAATTTGAATAAGTCCACGAGAGCCAAAGTATAACCTTGAATATATCCCACCTGAATTTAGAGACCATCTCAAGAATAGATTTGACGCATTGAACACTAATAACTGAAGACCAGACGAGTTGTGGAATGACATCAAGGACATCATACAAGTTAGAGATCATTGAAAAGACAGGAAAGAAAGAAAAGACCTAAATGGGTATCAGAAGATTTCAAAGGGCAGCTTGAGAAGACAAAGTAAAGTATTGTGCAGAGACCTGGAGATAGAAAACCAAAAGGGAAGAACACGCTCGGCATTTCTCAAACTGAAAGAACTGACAAAAAAATTCAAGCCTGCAGTTACAGTACTGAGGATTCTACAGGGAAAATATTAAACGACTCAGGAAGCATCAAAAGAAGATGGAAAGAATACACAGAGTCATTATACCAAAAAGAATTGCTTGACATTCATTCATTTCAAGAGGTAGCATATGATCAGGTACTGAAGGAAGGAGTCCAAGCTACACTGAAGGCACTGGCGGAAAACAAGGCTCCAGGAATTGACGGAATATCAATTGAGATGTTTCAACAAACGGACGCAGTGCTGGAAGTGCTTGCTTGTCTATGCCAAGAAATTTGGAAGACAGCTACCTGGCCAATCGACTGGAAGGATCCATATTTATGCCTATTCCCAAGAAAGGAGATCCAACTGAATGCAGAAATTATCGAACAATATCATTACTATCACACGCAAGCAAAATTTTGCTAAGATCATTCAAAAGCGACTGCAGCAGTATGTCGACAGGGAACTGCCAGAAATTCAGGCCAGATTCAGAAGAGGACGTAGAACCAGGATATCATTGCTGATGTCAGATGGATCCTGGCTGAAAGCAGAGAATACCAGAAAGATGTTTACCTGTGGTTTATTGACTATGCTAAGGCATTCGACTGTGTGGCTCATAACAAATTATGGATAACATTGCAAAGAATGGGAATTCCAGAACACTTAATTGTGCTCATGAGGAACCTGTACATAGATCAAGAGGCAGTTGTTTGAACAGAACAAGGGGATACTATGTGCTTTAAAGGCAAGAAAGGTGTGTCTCAGGGTTGTATCCTTTCACCATACTTATTCAATCTGTATGCTGAGCAAATAATCCGAGAACCTGGACTATATGAAGAAGGGCGGGGCATCAGGATTGGAGGAAGACTCATTAACAACCTGTGTTATGCAGATGACACAACCTTACTTGCTGAAATTGAAGAGGACTTGAAGCTCTTACTGATGAAGATCAAAGACTACAGCCTTCAGTATGGATTAAAGAAAATAAAAATCCTCACAACTGGACCAATAAGCAGCATCACGATAAATGGAGAAACGATTGATGTTGTCAAGAATTTTATTGTACTTGGATCCACAATCAACACCCATGGAAGTAGCAGTTAAGAAATCAAAAGACACATTGCATTGAGCAAATCTGCTGCAAAAGACCTCTTTAAAGTGTTGAAAAGCAAAGATATCGCCTTGAAGACTAAGGTGTGCCTGATCGAAGCCATGAAATTTTCAGTTGCATAATATGCATGCAAAAGCTGGACAATGAATAAGGAAGACCGAAGGAGAATTGATACCTCTGAATTGTGTTGAGCTGGCAAAGAGTATTGAATATACCATGGACTGCCAAAAGAACATACAAATCTGTCTTGGAAGAAGTACAACCAAAGTGCGCCTTAGAAGCAAGGATGGCGAGACTACGTCTTACATACTTTGGACATGTTGTCAGGAGGGATCAGTCCCTGGAGAAGGACATCATGCCTGGTAGAGTACAGGGTCAGCGAAAAAGAGGAAGACCCGCAACAAGACGGATTACCACACAGTGGCTGCAACAATGGGCTCAAGCATAACAACGATTGTGAGCATGGCACAGGACCAGCAGTGTTTCATTCTGTGGTGTATAGGGTCACTAGAGTCAGAACTGACTGGATGGAACCTAACAACAACAACAACAATCCTTAGGCAAGTTACCTAACTTCCCTAAATCACAATTTCCTCACTTATACAAGAAGACAGTGAGTTTATACAACAGACAGGATTAAATGAGATAAAATATGTAAAGCACATGATAGGCTCTAAATAAATATGTGCTATTGTTGTTAAACCAGCACAGAGCAGAATCATTGTAAAGATTATAATGGGATTATAAAGGAGATTAACTAAACACTCACTTACATTGAGGCATTTTGGTCAACTGTAAAAGCCAAAGTGCTGATAGCACATATGCATGTGTATTACATACTTTTATACTTTTTCTATATTTGGAAAATTGTTTTCTCTTTTATTGACAGTGTAGCCTTTGTACAAAATGAAACGAGGTGGTTAATTCTAGGGTGGAGTATTTCAGGATGCCTTCATCACTGTGAGTCAGGATCAACTCAATGGCAACGGGTTTGTTTATTTTTTAAAATTTTCTTAGATTCAAATTCAAACGTGGTTTCCGTGAGTTGTAGTGCCAGCCTGTCCCAGCATGACCTGAGTCTAGGTACTGTAGTTACCACTTGGTCTTTTAATAGAATCCTTGGTGTTTGGTGTGTGAGAGAGAACCCATTAATTCAACTCTTCTTCTAC